AGAGAGAGAGAGAGAGAATTCTCTCAAAATGGTATTGTTTCTTTGGGGACCTTTGAAATTTACTATATTTTGACTGTGTGGTGAACTATGATGTTTATCATCTCTCTCACATGATGCATAGATACAACAAACTGATGTTTCTATTATACTGTGTTGTGTTTATGCATTTAAGTGACTAAATTTTTAGACTGAGAAATGCTAGGCATATAAATGTCTCAATTAATATAAGCCAACGGGTTTATTGCTGCGGTATAAGCCTAGCCATAAAATAACTAGCTAGAGGGGATTTGTTTAGGATGAAATGTTGCACATCTTTAATCCAAAAAAAAAAGCAATAAAAGAAAATGATTTTGAGGTCAAAAAGCCTAGTTGCACCATCCACTGAATGAATAGCCTGCATTGATCATTGAAATAGCAGACTTATTTTTCCCTTTTATTTGTGTGAATTAAAATTTTTATTTTTATTTTTATTTTTATTTTAATCTCCAAATAGTTGCGACAAGGCTCTGATGATGATGATTTTGATCGCCTAGCTGGTTTTGGTCCAACTAATCCCTACTTCTCAAAGTGGCATGCCCTACAATATAAGCATGTTGGGTTATATATTCTTTTTCCGATACATTTTGTTGATAAGCATTCAAAATTGGGTTTGTCTAAAATGTAGTTATGCGACGAGTGATGATGTGGTTGAGCTGAAGGGGAAGGTGGCATGTGAGATCAGCAGTGCCGAAGAGTTGACATTGACTGAACTAATGTTCAGTGGGGTGCTCAAGGATGTGAGCGTGGAGCAGTTGGTGGCCCTTCTCTCGTGCTTTGTTTGGACCGAAAAGCTCAAGGACATGCCGAAGCCCAGGGAAGAGCTTGAAATGCTCTACTCTCAGCTCCAAGACACAGCCAGGAGAGTTGCCAAAGTCCAGCTGGAATGCAAGGTACTAATCGGAACAATTATCTGTGTGTGCATAGGAATGCATAGTTTTTTTTCTTCTAGTTCCTTTTGTGTGTGTGTGTGTGTGTGTGAGAGAGAGAGAGAGAGAGAGAGAGAGAGAGTAGTTACGTTAAACGTAAAACGAAAACGAAGTAATAGTAGTACTTAAGTAGTAGTAGAGAGAGTAAGAACGACAACGTAAGTAGTAATAATAACGTACGAACGTAAC